GGGGGAAGAGCTTGCTCACCAAGCACGTAGCTCAAGTTCCCACTTAAAAAAAAAATGTACCTTTTAGAGAGGAAGAGAAACACCGATTTGCTGTTCCACTTACTTATGTATTCAGTGGTTGCTTCTGACTAGGGATCAAATCCCCAACTTTGGTGTATTTGACCTAATCAAGGGACCAAAGAGCCGCATGTGGCTCGCGAGCCGCAGTTTGCCGACCACTGATCTAACCAACTGAGCTACCTGGCCAGGGCCTGGAGCTCCCACTCTCGGCTCTGTTCTCAGGATGGGTCCCCATTCTCGTTCCCATAAAACTGGACTCTTCCTCCAGGCCCAGGAACCCTCCCTAGTAACCATTCACTGGGCCCTGAGCTTTATATACTTTATCTCTTATTTTTATTTTTGTTAATCCTCACTCGAGGATATTTTTCCATTGATTTTTAGGGAGAGTGGAAAAGAGGGAAAGATAGAGAGAAACACATCATTTGGTTGCCTCCTGCATGAGCCCTGACCAGGGGAGGAGCCTGCAACCAAGGTATGTGCCCTTGACCAGAATTGAACCCGGGACTCTTTGGTCCTCAGGCTGAGGCTCTAGCCACTGAGCCAAATCGGCTAGGGCCATACTTTTATCTCTTTTAACATGCATGGTGATCTGGCTTGGTTGTCTTTATTTCCATTTTCCTGATGAAGAAAATCAGGAAAGATCACATCTCTTAAAATAACATTTGAACCAGCCTGGCTGATGGCAAGATGTGGGGACTGCCCTGCAAGGCCATGTTCAGGGACTTGCTCTTGGCAAGGGGCAAATAGCATCCCCCACAACTGCCCTTAGGCCAACGGTGAGAGAAAACAGTGTACATGAGGTAACACTGCCACCCTGTGGTGCAGATAAGTAACTACAGTGTCAGTTTCTCAGGCCAGAGCTTAGGGGAAGGGGGTGGGGGACATGGACTGACAAGAGACAGCAGAACAGACCACACCAACGCAGACTCACAACTGTCCCTAATACTTTATTGGTCACCTCTAGGCCTGTGCCCGGTTGGGGAGTTCCAGCAATGGGTCACCACTCACCACTCAGCTAGGACTATAAGAAGGCCTTGGCCTAGCCCTTCAGGGTCAGGACTGTGGAATTTGAAGGGGCAGGCCTGGCCTTTCCTGGGCCAGCACAGGCACACAGGTGGGGGCCAAGAGCCGAAGCTTGGCATCTGTCGGCCAGCCTAACTGTGTTTGGAGAAGTATTCCTTGCTATCTTCCACGTTAGGCTTGATCGTGTCACTACCTGGCTTCCAGTCAGCGGGACAGACTGTGGGGAGACACAAGGATGCACATGTGAGGCTACAGCCCCATATTCAAGGCAGGGCAGCAGTGACAGGCAAGGTGAGATCCCGAGTTGCAGAAGAAAAAGCCCAGAGCCAAGTGGTCCAGGCTCAAGACCACACCACATGTTGACAGAAGCCCCCAAGTCCAAGTGCAGGGCTTGTAGCTGATATTTTTATTTCTTTTTGGCCCCTCTAGCCCCATCTTTTTCCCTCAGCTCCAGCCCTACTAGACTTTGAGAGGCTATGGTCAATCTGTGTCCTCCACCCACGAAGGAGGTCTGATCCCAACTAATTTTATTAAAGTCTGCCGTGGCACACATCTTCTCAAATACCTTTTCTGCAGACTTTTATTACCTCCCAGCTACCCACCCTCATATTGGGGTACCTCCCCAATCAGACTAGAAACTTCCTGCAGATGAGGCCCTGAGCTGAACGTTCTTTGGAGCCTTCACATCCATGTTACATAGGTGATAAGGCGGGCAGTGAATGTCTACATGAGTGACAGAGGGGGCATGTGAATGTGTGTGCACTCACCTTCCCCGTGCTCATCTGTGTACTGGAAGGCCTGGACCAGCCGCAGAGCCTCATCCACAGAGCGTCCCACAGGCAAATCGTTGACAGTGATCTGGCGAAGGACACCCTTGCCATCGATGATAAAGAGGCCCCTGAAGATATGAGGGTTCACAGTGAAAAGCTGGTAGCTCCCACTGGCCCGGCCGGGGGAGGGAGCACCATCTCCCTTCCAGCCACAGCAGCGGTTCTCAACCTGTGGGTCGCGACCCCTTTGGAGGTCGAACGACCCTTTCACAGGGGTCGCCTAAGACCATCGGAAAACACATATATAATTACATATTGTTTTTGTGATTAATCACTATGCTTTCATTATGTTCCATTTGTAACAATGAAAATACATCCTGCATATCAGATATTTACATTACGATTCATAACAGTAGCTATATTACAGTTATGAAGTAGCAACGAAAATAATTTTATGGTTGGGGGTCACAACATGAGGAACTGTATGAAAGGGTCTCGGCATTAGGAAGGTTGAGAACCACCGAGCCACAGGGCTAATGGCAGGGAGGACATTGCCCAAGAGTGGTCCCCTCACCCTGGGGACCCCATTACCTGTAGGCAATGCCATCGTCTTCCTTCAGCACGCCATAATCATGGGACAAACTTCTGGTTACATCAGACAGCAGGGGGATGTTCATGGGGCCCAAGCCGCCCTCCTTCCGGGGGGTGTTAATCCTGGGAGTAGGGGAGACAGGGCTGGGACCTCAGGATGCCTGGCACAGCAGGGCTCACACCCTGTGGACCTGGGTGTGATAAGGGCTGGAGAAGGGGTGCTGGAGGAGAGAGATAAGGGGCTTTGGAGCAAGGCCCTGGAGGCCCCACCCACCCCACCCTGATGCGGGTGCAGGGGCTGTTTCCCACAGCTGGGAAGACTAAGCTAACGCTCTCATTCCAACCAAGTGGCTTCACATGTGCTGGTGGTCACCAGCCTCCTGGGGCAAAGTGCCCATCCTCCTCTCCAGCAGGGCTCTGGGGCCCAGCCCTCCACTCCCTTGAACTGGAGTTGCCACTTTCTTGAAATAGTTGCTGGGAGGGAGGCTGCTTTGCCCTAAATGAGATAAAGCGTTTGCAACTTCACACCAAGCAACTAGATTCCAAAAGCTAATTACTGTTGTCATCATCGGTAAAGACTTGGGCGTCATTATTTCCAAGATGTGGGAAGGGAGGTGCAGAGGTTGAGCAAGGCCACACTAGAACACACAGCTGGGACCCGGTAGAGGCAGAGGTCTGGCTGCACCCCTCCCTCCCTGCGGGTCCCCACTCCTACCAAGCCAGGTGGGTGAACTGCGAGTCCACGGAGACGCCCAGCACCTCGCAGCCCAGCTTGCGGAAGTCCGCGGCGCGCTCGCTGAAGGCGATGATCTCGGTGGGGCACACGAAGGTGAAGTCCAGCGGGTAGAAGAAGAGGACCACGTACTTCCCTGGAGGAGGGGGAGGGAATGGAGGCGAGTGAGGGCCCTGCACCGCCGACGCGCGCGCCCCGCCCCCACCTGGGCCCCCTCCAGGCCGGCCTCACCTCTGAATTCGGAGAGTTTCACCTCCTGGAAGGCGCCGTCCACCACGGCGTTGGCCTGGAAGTCCGGGGCGGGCTTGCCGATGCACGCGTTGCCGGAGGCCATGACTGAAAGCTGAGACCCCCCGCCCCCTCCTGCCTGGTCAGTGCGCCCGGGAAGACCCTTGTCCTCCTTCCCAAGGTCACGCTGGGTGCTGGGCCCGGGGGCCGAGTCAGAGGGCGAAGGCAGGGGCCCCGTCCGGAACCCTCCTCGGTACCGGCTGTCCGCGGCTTCTGGACCACCGGGGACCCCTCCCTCCCGGCCAACAAGAGCGGCCCAGCCGCTGCCGCCCAGCCTCCCATGAGCAAAGTGACCTCAATGCGGTGGCGCGGGCTCGCCGCCCCGGGAGGAACCTCCGGGAGGAGCCCCCGGAGCAGGGGGCGGGGAGCAAGCCAAGCTCTGGCCTCGATTCCCCAGCCCACCCCAAGGATAAAGGCGGCCACCAAGGCGGGTGGGAAACAAAGGGGCCAGGCCGAGGCCCGGAGAGGGCCGGAGAGGCTCCCAGGGGGCTCCCCCCAGCCCCGTGCGCTCCAGGCGTCCCTACCTGCGTGGGGGAGGATGGGGCGCGCACACCAGCAGACCCGCGTGGACTCGCGTTCTCAGCGCCAAGTGAGCGCAGGGCCGCGGAGCCTTATATGCGCGGCCGGAACCGTGACGCTCGGGGCGGGGCGTGGTGACGGGAGGAGCGGTCGGGTCCACCGCCGCCGTCGGGGAGGGGGACCAGCGGCCGGGTCTGGGGGAGCCGCGCAGCCGCGGGCCGCGTCCACTGTGCCCACCCGTGAGGGCAGTGAGGGCCCCGCAGATCCCGCGCGGGGCTCGGCCCCCCGGAGCGCGCCGGGAGCGGTTGGAGTCCCGCATGGCCCGGCGCTCAACTGCGCTACTGCTGTCGCCTCTGATGCTCCTGCTGCTGGCGACTCCGGCGCAGGTCTCCCCCGACTACCAGTACTTCGGCGAGCAGGGCAAAGGCGACACTTGGGAGCAGCTGCGGCTGCAGCTTCTGGGGAAAGGTAAGTGCAGGCGGGGAAAGGTGCCCCAGCGCCCCACTTTGCCAGCTGGCTGCAAACGGACCCTCCTCAGTGGACTTCAGATCTCCGCCCAGCCTCGCACTTGGCGGCGTCCCTTGGGCTGGTCACTTTTCTCCGAGGCTCAGTTTTCTCATCTGTAAACTGAACTGGAGACTGCCTTTAAGCCGCTTACACGTGGAGAGGGGGCGTGAGCTGGACCCAAGCAGACACATCCCTAAGCACACGGTACGTGGTAGGAAGCGCAGAGAAGGGAAAGAAGGTAGCAGGTCAATTGCTGAAGCCTGAGAAGGCCTGGCTGAAGAAGATAGGTCACCAATGCTGTAGCTGGACAAGCGGAATGAAGTTAACTAGAAGAGGACGCTCTGCCAAGAAAAGGCGGGAGCCTGCAAGCGGGCCACGTCAGAACAGTCTTGCAAGCAAGACTTATTGTTTAGAGGCAGAACTTTCTTTAAGGTGATAAATAGTCCATGAGGGCATGGAAAGCCAGGGAGGGTGCACTGCTGCAGGTGGATAGGGTCTTTGTATAACATAGGAAATTAATAGTGTAATGTATAACTTAGCTCTGATGATCTCATAAGCATGCCTGTTAATCATTGTCACTTGCTGTACTCCATTGTTATTTACTGTACTCCCCAAATAAAAGCCATGAGAGTTTTGGGGGCTTGGCTACTTGCCTGAGCGAGCGGTAGCCCTCTGCTTATCTAAACTTAATCCTGCACGCCAAGCTCATCTCAGCGTCACCGTTCACAAAGAACATCAATATCTGGCGCCTGAACAGAACAGGGACCCGAAGGTGAGTAATTGGGGTCGGGCAGGACCGAAAGGGAGATGCCAGCGCAGAGTACCCGGAACTTTCGGCAATAGAAGCAGAGTCATGGGGAATAGCCCGTCATTGCAGAGTCAATATATCGCTGTCTTTCGATCATTATTAAAGAGCTCAGGGGTAAAAGTGAAGGATGAGGCTTTTAAAAAATTGTTTAAGGCAGTCCAGCAGCACTGTTGTTGGTTTAACCCAGAAGGAAAACAGCAGTTAAATCTTAAGTTGTGGAAACAAGTTGGAAAGTCATTAAGGCGGGCTCATCAACAGGGAAATGCTATAGAGGCTGATGTGTGGGCTATTTTTAATGTAGTAACGTCAGCTTTACAGCCTTTTCAGTCTGATTCTGAAGATTATGAAGAAATTCCTTTGAGGTTTCGAAGTGCTGCTCCAGGAGCTGGGTGTTTAAGTTCTGAGCCTCTCCCTCCTGAGAAATTGCAACCCCCTGAGCCGCTCCCGTTAGAGGTCACTGAACCGAGGGAGTCAAGAAAGGGACAGAAAACTAGCTGTCAAAATGAATCAGAAGCTTATGAAAGAATAGCCTCAGCCAGCGATTCAGAGCTGGATGTTTCATTTTCCGCTGAGACGGATGGTGATACTTACACTAGCCTTAATTAAGTTAAGGAAAAGAAAGAGAATAAAAGTCCTCAGGAATTGGCTGCACCGCCGCCGAAAAGTGAAAGTAAAATGGCACTAGCCTTTAGCGCTAGAGGCTGAGCCTCCACCCCCCTCCTGAGGACACAAAGAGCTGCTAATGCTCAATACCCTCAAGGGTTAAATTTATACAGGTTATAGATTAATGAATTTATATATTATTAATTATAATATTAGTATCTATAATATAAATACATTATTAATTTTAATATATTAATTAATATAGAATTAATTTATACAGATTATAATTAATTCCTTATTATTGGAATACAATAGCTAAGGCAGTATTAGCCCCAGGTCAATATCTGCAATTTAAATCCTGGTGGTGGGAAGAAGCCAGGAGAGTGGCGATGATTAACGCCCAACAAAATCCACCTGGATGTAATTTTGACCAGTTCACAGGAACTGGGACACATAGTAGCTTACAGCAACAGGTGCTGTTAGAGGATGCTGTTATGGCACAGATTAAAGCTTGTTGCTTAAAGGCTTAGTCAAAAATGGAGGAGGCCGGCACCCCGGCCCAATCATTTTCTAAAGTTATACAAATAATACTAATATAATAATAATAATAATCTTATTAAAATCTTATATAAATAATTAATAATAATAATAATCTTCTTGCTGATGCATTAAAAACTACAATTCCCATCCTGTTAAATGCTATGGATGTGGAAAAGTGGGACACATGAAAAAGGATTATAGGAAGGCAAAGGTCCCACAAGGGAAAGCTAAACATGCTCCCGGAGTTATTAATGCAAATTATGAAGGAGAAATATTAGTTATAATGTCTGCTTCTAGTATTACAAATATAAAGGCTGGAGAAAAAATGGCACAGTTATTATTACTTCCCTATAAACAAATAGGGCATACAGCACCAGTTAAGCGAACTGGGGGATTTGGTAGCACAGAAAAAAAGGTTTTTTAGCATACAGTCTTAGGAGGCCAAAGACCTCAATTTTTACAGTTTATTCCCGGAGGGAATAAAACTTATCAGCCTGGTAGATTCTGGGGCTGATGTAACTATAATTTCTACTTTGCACTAGCCTCAATCTTGGCCAGTACACAAGGTGAATACAGATGCAGTGTCAGCTGCTAAAACACATTGGGACATAAAAAGGAGGTCCCGGTAAAACAACCTATCATGTACCAAGATGTTACTACTAATCAATGGTACTCGACTACCGTTTTAAGGTGGGGTGGAGGCTATACTTATGTTTCCACAGGAACTAAGAAGTTCTGGATTCCTGATAAAAGAATCAAGTTAAGGCATGGCGAGCAAGAGGAAGTGTGACGAAGCAGGACTAGAAGACCGGTTTGCGCAGCTAACCATCCAGAGAGGACAAACACATGGGGACAGGTGAAGCGCCTATGCCAGGAAGGGGAACATCTTGTGACTGACCATGGAAGGCCCTGTAACTAATGACTCTAATTGGATGCCTGGACTTTTTAAAGATCGTGGGCCTATGAAACCAGATGAAGAAGGGACAAGAATGTACAACTATTCGACAGGAGTTACTGGAATGCCTGTGTGCCTGGGACTGGGTAATCATTGTTTGCAATTGGGTTATAAAGCCTAGTTGAGTGTGGCTAAAAACACCACTAATCCTTGAAAGGACCAGTCCAATGGACTCAAAGTACTGGGGAAATATCTTATTTTAATTGTACCTTGTTAACTTGTGTAAATAACTCTGTACCTTTTAATCACAGTAGAGAGAGCTTGTATCTATTGTGAGCCAGAACAGGAGTATAGTTACCCGTACAGATGGATCGACTATGGCAGGAGAGTTCTCTAGCTGGAGCTCTCCAAGCCATTGTGGAAGGAATATTGAAGAGGTCAAAAAGGTTTATTGGCATGCTAATCGCTGTAATTCTTGGGTTAATTACAATAACAGCAACTGCTGCAGCAGCTGGGGTAGCATTACAGCGATCAGTCCAAACTGCTACTTTTTTAAAAAAATATATTTTATTGATTTTTTACAGAGAGGAAGGGAGAGAGATAGTTAGAAACATCAATGAGAGAGAAACATCGATCAGCTGCCTCCTGCACATCTCCTACTGGGGATGTGCCCGCAACCCAGGTACATGCCCTTGACCAGAATCGAACCTGGGACCTTTCAGTCTGCAGGCCGATGCTCTATCCACTGAGCCAAACCGGTTTCAGCAAAACTGCTACTTTTGTTCAAGACTGGCATAAAGATTCAGAACGGTTATGGAGTTCTCAACAGAAAATTGATAGTCAAATCAATGAACAATTAGCCGATCTTGAACAATCAGTAGCTTTATTAAGGGACCAAATTGTTAGCCTGCAAAGGCGATTACAGTTAAAGTGTGATTGGAACCATACTGGTTTATGTGTCACCCCTGTACCTTATAATGAAACAGCTTTGCTATCTTCTCTGTCATGATTCAAACCTGCAGCAAAACTAAAAAGGGGGAAATTGTAGCTGGACAAGTGGAATGAAGTTAACTAGAAGAGGACGCTCTGCCAAGAAAAGGCGGGGGCCTGCAAGCGGGCCACGTCAGAACAAACTCTTGCAAGCAAGACTTATTGTTCAGAGGCAGAATTTCCTTGAGGTGATAAATAGTCCATGAGGGCATGGAAAGCCAGGGAGGGTGCACTGCTGCAGGTGGAAAGGGTCTTTGTATAACATAGGAAATTAATAGTGTAATGTATAACTTAGCTCTGATGATCTCATAAGCATGCCTGTTAATCATTGTCACTTGCTGTACTCCACTGTTATTTGCTGTACTCCCCAAATAAAAGCTCTGAGGGCTTTGGGGGCTTTGCTACACGCCTGAGCGAGCGGTAGCCCTCTGCTTCTCTAAACTTAATCCTGCACGCCAAGCTCATCTCAGCATCACCGTTCACAAAGAACATCAATAAATGTAGCTGACGTGACAAGAAAAGCAAAAATTGCAAAGATTTAGGGGGAAGAGTGTTGCCAGGGAGCAGGGAAAGCATGTGCCAAGGCCAAAAGGCCTGATGGAATGTAACCGGAACCCAGACTCTGCTGCCTGCTGCCACGAAAGTCAAATTTGTGAGATAGATGCTGGTGAAAAAAAGAAAGAGGTTTATTCAAGTGTTGGCCACCTGAGAAGATAGGGGACTCTTGTTGAAAAGCCCATCTCCACATCTCAGAGCGGGCTGAGGTTTTTAAAAGTATTTTTTAAATATATTTTACTGATTTTTTTACAGAGAGGAAGAGAGAGGGATAGAGAGTTAAAAACATCGATCAGCTGCCTCTTGCACACCCCCCACTGGGGATATGCCCGCAACCAAGGTACATGCCCTTGGCCGGAATCGAACCTGGGACCCTTCAGTCCCCAGGTCTACGTTCTATCCACTGAGCCAAACCGGTCGTGGCTGGCCGAGGTTTTTATAAGGAGGGAGAGGGAAAGCAGGACAAAGAGCTCAAGGGGCTGGGGTTGAAAAGTTCTCTTCTGGAAGACCAGCAGAGTCCATTCTGATAAGAACCTCAAAACTGGTCAAGTGATGGTCTGGTGAGCATGATCCTGGTTTTACCACTGAAGGTCGGCAATCCTCCTAGAGCTGGGATGACTGTAGGCCAGACTCTGTATCTTCTGAGGTTAGTCCCTCTGATTCTTTTCGTTGTTGTTATTGTTAATCCTCACCTGAAGATAGGTTCTTCCATTGCTTTTCAGAGAGAGTGGAAGGGAGGGAGGGAGAGAGGGAGAGAAAGAGAGAAAGAGAGAGACAGAAAGAGAGAGAGAGACAGAAAGAGAGAGAGAGAGAGACAGAAAGAGAGAGAGAGAGTATTCAATGTGAGAGAGTTCCTAGGATTGTTACATATTAGTCCAGTCACCATCTGCAGAAACAATGTCAAAAGAATGGTGGGGTGGGTTACAGTTGTGGGGTGGGTTACAGTTGATCACTGTTGCAAGAAGAATGAAAGAGGCCAGTGTTCTGTGATGGAGGTTTGGTGAGTTAAGGCCTGTCGCACAGAGGCCAGGGAGAAGTCAGTCCAAGCACCCTGTAAAGCAGGGAGTGTAAGTGCTCTCCGTAAGTTGTTTTAGAAGTGATCACGCTCCTTGTTTTTATTCCTCGAGCTAGCCCAGTGCCAGGGGCTTTAAGTATTGTTATTATGCTAATCATGTCATTTAATTTACCAACTGACAGACCTGCCGGTCAGGTGTCACTGTGCCGGCCTGACAGGCTCATGATCAGGTCCCTGAAGATGAATCAGCGTCTGAGGGTGGGCACAAAGGGTGTGGTGCCACAGTTTTAACTGGCACAGGCGGGAGGTGTCAGTTTGCAGTCTCTCTGGGTCACTCCCCGGCTGTGTGAGCTGGGAAGGGTGGCTTGCTCTTTCTAGATCTCAGTCTCCCCACCTGGGGCTAATGGGGTCATCCATGGGAGGCACCTGGCACAGAAGCACAACCCTGCAAACATGAGCTGTTGCTCCTCCGGTTCGGCTCAGTGATTGAGCATCGGCCCATGAACCCAGAGGTTATCGGTTTGATTTCCTCATGGCACAGACAGGTTGTGGGCTCCATCCCCAGTAGGGGGCATGCAGGAGGCAGCTGATGAATGTTTCTCTCTCATCGATGTTTCTATCCCTCTCCCTCCCTCTGTCTCTAAAATCAATTTAACAACATTAAAAACAACAACGAACTGTTGCTGTCAGTGTTTTTAGCCTCCTCCCTCCCTAGAGGAGGGTCTAGGGGTACATAGGTTCCCCCCAAACACATACACCTGACCCTCCATCCCTAGACGCAGAGGACTCCATCCTTGGCCCGTGGGGAAAGTGGCGCTGTCGGTGCGGCCTGGGCACGCAGGAGCGCAGCCGCGAGGTGCTGGGCACAGCGCCAGACCCGGTGTTCATGGACCGCGAGGACCTGGTGCAGGTGCTGCCCTGCCGGCTACGCGACTGTTCATCCTGCAAGCCAATGGACTGCGACTGGAGGCCCTGAGTCCGGGTCAGAGGCGGGCCCGGAGGAGGCGGACCGGGTGGGCGGGGAAGTCCCCAGGGTGGGCGGGAAGAAAGGAGGAACGGGGGTGGGGTGGGGTGGGGGTGGGCGCAGAGGAGGTGGGCATCGGGAAGGGAGACCTGGGGCCCTAGGTCTAGAGTTTGAGGCTGGTGGGGGGAGGAGAAAGCTGAGTCCGGAGATGTGAGCAGAAAAGACGTTATCCGGGCAGAAAGGAAGATAGTGGAGGAAAACAGAGACGGAGGAGCCGTGACCCCGAGGAAGGGACATGAGCCTGGTGAGAGCTGGGGACCCCCTGGCAGAGGAATGAGCCCTGCTGAGACCAGAAAATAAGATGGGGGAGAGGAGAAGGGCGGGGTGGGGGACAACTGACTCCTGATATACAAGAGTCTCTGAGGTCTTGGGGTCTCAGACCTCGGTTCGGAGGAAGGGGAGGCTTCGTCCGAATGAGACAGAGGGTAGTAAGGGGCGGGCGGAGATCCTGATGAGGTGCCGAGCGGGAGGTGGATGGGAGAGGCAGTCCAAGGCCTGAGCCCAGTGGGGTGGGGACACCTCCTCCAGGGCGCCTAGACTTTGTGGAGGGACAGGGATCGCGGTGGCAAACGGCCTGAGTCCAGGTGGGGGACGGGAGTTCTGGGAGTGTAATGCTATTTCATCTTACAGGCCTGACGGGGCCGTTCCCTTCCAGTTCCGCTCAGTTTCCCGTTTAGTTCCCGCTTCTCCCGCCTGCCGGGGCGGGCGAGGCTCGGGAGACCTCTGAGCGGAGCTTGGAAAGCGACCCCTCCCACCCGGTTTCTGAAAGTCAGAGCGCGGGGCTGGGCCTCGGGAACTACAATTCCCAGCGCGGCCTACGGCAGCGGCGTCGGCGTCGGCTGCGCCAACGTCACGGCGGCGGGAGGGTTGGGGGCGTGTCCTGCGCGCTGATTGGTCAGGTCCAACCACTGAGGAACCTGCGGAAAACGCGCGCCGAGACCTGCGCCTGCAGACCGGGTTCCTGCAGACCCGGTTCCTGCGGCCGGTAGTGGCAGCCGCGGCGGCATGGATCTCGGAGAGCTGGAGAGAGACAATACGGGCCGCTGTCGCCTGAACTCGCCTGTGCCCGCAGTGTGCCGCAAGGAGCCGTGCGTCCTGGGCGTCGATGAAGCAGGCCGGGGCCCGGTGCTGGGTGTGTCCCCCGGGCTGGGGTGGAGGAGGGACGTGATCAGGGGGGTGCACATTGCACTGGAATGGGAGCCGGGATTGCACCGGTTTCGTTGTGTGTGAGGTGATAGCCATGGCATTGGTGATGGCACCGGAAAAAGTGGTGATAACGGAACAAGGATGGCGGCTTTCATGGGCTCACTGGTTGGACCCCATTTTTCCAGGCCCCATGGTTTACGCCATTTGTTATTGTCCCATGTCGCGCCTAGCAGATCTGGAGGCCTTGAAAGTGGCAGGTGAGCCCTTGGTGTATGTCTGGGGAAGGGGGTTCCTGGGCCTGTGCAGGGGCGGATGTACACTGGAGGGAGAGAGCAGGAATTGGGAGAACCAGCTGCTCCCCTTCTCTCCCAACCCTTTTCCCAGACTCAAAGACCCTGTCGGAGAGCGAGCGGGACAGGCTATTTGCGAAAATGGAAGAGGATGGGGACTTTGTGGGCTGGGCACTGGACGTGCTGTCTCCAAACCTCATCTCTACCAGCATGCTTGGGCGGTGAGGGGTCCCCAGGAGGGGCCTGGGTAGGGGGGCAGCCAACTTGGGCTGGAAGGGATTGGTGGCTGGAATGGGTTTGACTGGGCTCTGTTCCCCACTGCAGGGTCAAGTATAATCTGAACTCTCTGTCCCATGATACAGCCGCTGGGCTGGTGCAGTATGCATTGGACCAGGGCGTCAACGTTGCTCAGGTGAGCTAACTGTTGGGTTGCTCCATTTGATCACCTCAGGATAAAATGGGAGTATGAGTGCAGTGGGCAATTCAGCATCAGACATATGTAATACCTCAAAAATATTTATTGCTGCTGTTGACTTCCTACTGCTTTTCCTACCCTAAATATGTGACCCACTAAGGACCATGGTGGGGCCCCAGCCCCATCCCCATCTATCTCTACCCTAAAAGCTCAGTGTCCAGAACAAATCCCACATCTGTCCACCTGTCCTAGCCCAGGACACTCTCCAGTCCTGGATGCCTGCCCCATTCTCTTCCCTGGTTCCCCCACTTCCAGCCCCCTCTCCTACAATCTGCTCCCAAACAGCAGCAGCTGACAGTCATTTTTTTTTTTTAAATGTAAATCTCAACATTTAATTTTCTGAGCACAGTGGAAATTAAATCAGGAACATTCACAGCCAAGGGGAGCCAAATGAGATTAAATTACCAGAGAGAAATATAAGTTGGCATGGTATCGAGTGCTCTGAGGCAAAGAACCAGCTGTTTTGAGAGAATGACATGGGCAAATACACTTGAGGGAGGGAATGGAACAAGGGAGGCCTTGCTGACGAGGTGGCTGAGATCCAGAAATGGAATGTGGAGCTGATGATGCCATACTGGAGCAGACAGACAAGGGCCCTGCCCTTGGGTTCATGCCCAAGTCAGGGAGATGGATGTTCAGCTAGTAAACAAATAATAAAGGTGATTTCTGAGAACAAAAACTGCTACAGAGATCACTTTCCCTCTTACCTCTCTGCTCCGGCCATGGGGCCTCCCCACCTCAGGGCCTTTGCACTGTCTGTTTCCTCTGCCTAGAACAATTTCCCAGATCTCCACCCACAAGGCTCATTCATTCCTTCATCTCTTCCAGGCCTTTATTCAAATGTCATCACCTCAGGGTGACCTTCCCTGAATTGCCCGCCTCCATTTAAAATGACAGCCTCTTCACCCAGCTGGTATGGCTCAGTGGTTAAGTGTCAACCCATGAACCAAGAGGTTACCGATTTGATTCCCAGTCAGGGCACATCCTTGGGTTGTGGGCTCAATCCCCAGTAGGGAGCATGCAGGAGGCAGCCGATCAATGTTTCCCTCTCATCGATGTTTCTACCTCTCTATCCATCTCCCTTCCTCTCTCTATAAAATCAATAAAAAATTGTAAAAAAAAAAAATGACAGTTTCTTCCAATTCTTCCCTATCCTTTATTATTTACCCGGTTTCTTTTTTTTTTAAAGATTGTATTATTTAAAAAAATATTTTTATTGATTTCAGAGAGGAAGGGAGAGGGAGAGAGAAATAGAAACATCAATGATGAGAATCATTGGTTGGCTGCCTCCTGCACACGCCGTACTAGCGATCAAGCCCACAACCTGGGCATGTGCCCTTGACCAGAATCAAACCCGGGACCCTTCAGTCCACAGGCCGACGCTCTGTCCACTGAACAAAACCAGCTAGGGTTTACCCTGTTTCTTGTCTGTGGCCCTCACCAGGGTGTCTACTCCATGAGAACATGGATTTTTGTGTGGTGTGTTCATTGCCTTGTTCCCACTATTAAGTGCAGCCCATGGTATGCAGTAGGTGCTCAGTAAATGTAGACTATTGATGTTCTTTGTGAACGGTGATGCTGAGATGAGCTTGGCGTGCAGGATTAAGTTTAGAGAAGCAGAGGGCTACCGCTCGCTCAGGGTGTAGCAAAGCCCTCAAGGCTTTTATTTGGGGAGTACAGCAAATAACAATGGAATACAGCAAGTGACAATGATTAACAGGCATGCTTATGAGATCATCAGAGCTAAGTTATACATTACACTATTAATTTCCTATGTTATACAAAGACCCTTTCCACCTGCAGCAGTGTACCCTCCCTTGAACTTTCCATGCCCTCATGAACTATTTATCACCTCAAGGAAAGTTCTGCCTCTGAACAATAAGTCTTGCTTGCAAGACTTTGTTCTGACGTGGCCTGCTTGCAGGCTCCCGCCTTTTCCTGGCAGAACATCCTCTTCTAGTTAACTTCATTCCGCTTGACCACTACATAGACTGAGTACAGCTTGATCAGAAAAAGACTCTGGTTCAACAATAAAGTTATAAAAATAAACAAATAAAGTTTAATTTGTAGAACTGCAAAAAAAAAAAAGAAAGAAAGAAAAAAGACTCCCTGGGAGGTCCCTGGGAGGTGATGCTTGAGCTGAGACCCCTGAGAAAAATGCAGCCTGGGACGAGCCAAGAGAAGAATATTCCAGGCAGTGGGAACAGCAAGCGCAAAGGCTATGAGGCTGGCTCATTTGCACAGTTGTTTGTCTCGATGTTTGTTGAATGAATACATTTCTGCCACCACTGCAGGTATTTGTGGACACTGTGGGAATGCCAGAGACATACCAAGAGCGGTTGCAGCAGCGCTTTCCCGGCATTGAGGTGACAGTCAAGGCCAAGGCAGATGCTCTCTATCCCGTGGTCAGCGCTGCCAGCATCTGTGCCAAGGTTAGCCCCTCGCTGTCCATGACCGGCTCCCAGCATCCCTTTAGGCAAGGGGCAGGTGTGGATGCCCTGAGGGAGGGACATCTCAAGTGCCTGTCTTGCCCACAGGTGGCCCGAGACCAGGCCGTGAAGAACTGGCAGTTTGTGGAGAAACTACAGGACCTGGACACTGATTATGGCTCAGGCTACCCCAATGGTGAGTGGATGGTGGTAGGGGCTGCTTTGGAGCTGTCCTGAGATAGTGATGCTGGTGGTAACTCTGACAAGGCAGTCCTGAGAGTGGTTCTGCTTACCCTGCTCCGCAGTGGGAGAGGCTGAGGCCCAGACTGGGGGCCACTTGCTCACAGCCATCATGTGGCAAAGCTGGTTTCCAGCTGGCAGGCTCCTTCCTCCCTGCTCCCTTCCTCTCTCTGCTCTCTGGAGCCCCAGTGAGAGACTGAGACCCATGGTGGGTGTCTGTCTGTTTGTTAAGGGGAAGGGGGCGGGATGAGGGGCCCTGGCTTATGTCCCATGGCCCCAGCTTAAATCCATCGTTTTCTCCCAGTATGAGACTCAGTTTCCTTGTCTGACATGGAAGTGATTGTGCTCCCCCAACACACAGGGCAGAGTTGAAGATTCAAGGTGGTTGGGCTCAAGGAACCCCTTGACCCTTCTGAGGCCCAGGAAGAGACTGGCAGGTGGGTGGGGCGACACAGTCTGTGATTGGAACTTAGGTGAGGCCAAAGTGAAGAAACCAGGTCCAGGCCAAACACAGTTTGGCCAGCATTTGGTGCTTACTGAGTACCTGATGCATGCTGTGTAGGGTCAAGCCTTGGGGATATAGCTGTGAGCAAGACAAACAAGGATTTCCCTGTCCCCACTGAGCTCATGGTTACGTGGGGGGAGACGGACATTAACCTGATGACCCACAAATACTGGTTTAATGACTGTTGTCCTATGGGGTAAAGGAGAGGTCTCAGAGGCAGTCTTCTTAAATTGTACCTGAGCAACTGTTGGCCAAGTAGAGAGTCCAAGAAGAACTGCCTGTGCAAAGGTCCTTGAGGCAGGAAGATGTCTCAGGTAGTGCAAGGTGCCTTAGATACTCAAGAGGAGGCCTGAGATGAGATCATGGGGCCTCAGATGGAGTCTAGGGAGCTGGGGCTTTATGACAGGGCTCAGGGGCTGTCACCATTGCCACTCCACCCCTTCCCTAGATCCCAAGACGAAAGCATGGTTGAGGAAGAACGTGGAGCCCGTGTTTGGCTTTCCCCAGTTTGTCCGGTTCAGTTGGCGCACGGCCCAGAGCATCCTGGAGAAGGAGGCGGAAGGTGTTACGTGGTGGGTGTCCCAGAGGTGCTGAGGAGGGAGGGAGGCTAGGGCTCATCCCAGCCTGGGAGGGTGCACCCCCCAACCCCCAACAGCAGGTGGTCAGTGTCACCACCTCTCGCCTACAGGGAGGACTTGCCAACAGGGGATCAGGAAGGACAAGGGAGGATTACATCCTATTTCAACGAAAAGCCAGGAAACCGTCCCCATCTCCCCCACCGGTACTTCCAGGAACGTGGCCTAGAGTCAGCGACCACTCTCTAAGAGCCAGCCTGTACCCCTTTTACCTTCAGTTTGTGATTAAAATTGCTTAAGGAAAGCCAGGCATGGGGGTTGTACTTTGGGGTGGAGGTGGCTGGACCCAGCCGCTGACTTTTGTAACCTAAACAAGGTAGTGGCACTGGGTGATTGATTTTAATTTTAAAAAATTTATAAGAGTTTATTTGAGCCAAAATGAGGACATATGCCTGGGAACAAGATCGCAAATGCTCCCTGGTTCTATTTAAAAATATATACTGTGTGATGCAGAATTAGGAAGGAGCACATTGAGAAGCACCCTGCCCCAGCTCACAGGTGGGCTTACCTGGTGTCTCAGTCTGTTTGGGCAGCAATAACAATATACCAGACTGGGTGGCTTATTAACATCAGACGGTTATTACAGTTCTGAGGATGGAAGTCCAATGTTAGGGTGTCAGCATTGTCATGTTCTGGCGAGGGCTCTCTTCCGTGTTGAATGCTGCCACCTTCTCACTATGTCCTCACATAGGGGAGAGGGGGAGGGATCTCTGTGGGATCCCTTTTATACGGGCACTAATTCCATTCCTGACAGTCCCACACTCATGACCTAGTTGCCTCCCAAATGTATCACCTCTTTAATACCATCATCTTTGGGGGTCAGGATTTCAACATAGGCATTTCAGAGGGGACACAAACATTCAGACCATAGCAGGTGCCTCCTAGGTCCCTCCAGAGATAACCCATGTTACAAACATTGGTACAGGTATATTCTTTCCCAAAGTTTTTGTTTTTTACACAAATGGGAGGAAACTATACCCTACATAGTGCACATTCCTCTTTGTGCCACGTATGTCTTGGAGGTAATTCCAAATGGGCATCTAAAGACCTGCCTCATTGCTTTACAACTGAAGAGCTCTCCGTGGCATGACTATCCTGTAGTTTAATGCCTCTTAATAGACACTGAGTTATCGCTCAGCTTGCTGTTAAACCTGTATAGTAGGGAATTACGGGGATGGGCCATCATTTCTCGTGCACAGCTTTGTAGGATAAATTCCCAGAGGTGGGGTTGCTGGGTTAGAAAATGTATGTGTTTATCATTTGGAGAAGATATATTTTCCAATTGCCCTCTGTGGAGGCTTGTACCTAATGGCACTCCCACCAGTAACGGAAGTGAGCACTGAGGGCAGGGAATGAACCTGAGCTATTTCAGCAGTGCCTAGACTCAGGAGGCATCCATCAATCTTGCTTTATTGAATTAAAGAGACCTTGCCCCTGTTTGCCAGGTAAGGTAAAGAGGAGGAGGATTAGTAGTGGTGCTTACAATCCAAATCCCGAACCTGAGTCCAGTCCTTTGCCTTAGGGCAGTGGTTCTCAACCTTGGCTGCACATTAGAATCACCTGGGAATCTTTTTTTTTTAATATATTTTATTGATTTTTTACAGAGAAGAAGGGAGAGGGAATAGAGAGTTAGAAACATCAATGAGAGAGATCGACCAGCTGCCTCCTGCACGCCCCCCAAGTGGGGATGTGCCCGCAACCAAGGTACATGCCCTTGACCGGAATCGAACCTGGGACCCTTGAGTCCGCAGGCCGACGCTCTATCCACTGAACCAAACCGGTTCGGCACCTGGGAATCTTTTTAAAATCTTGGTTTCTGGGCCTCATCCTCCGGAAAATTCTGTTCCTTTGTAATGAGGTGGGCGCTCCGACAAATAGAAAGAAATAAACGGCTTTTCGCGAGGATGAGGCCCAGAAAAGTAGGATTTTTAAAAGGTTCCCCAGGTGATTCTAATGTGCAGCCAAGGTTGAGAACCACTGCCTTAGGGATTTGGAAGAATGGGGAGGAAGGAAGGCGGCTTCTTGTGTGTCGGGGAGCTTCTTGCTGGTTGCACACAGTGGGAGAACACACCTCCTGCCCCGGTCGGTCAGCCCTTCTCTGACCCCGTCCCCCCCCCCCCTCCCCCCATTTCTAGCACCTGAGTATTCCAAATGACACACCACTGTGATTCAGCCCCGAACTCGGACCGGAGGGTTAGAGTGGGACCCATCAGTCTGGCAACTGCCTTTCCCACCTGTTTCCCCAAGAGGCTGCCACATCAAGTGCTCTAGTTGGCGACTTTATTCGGGGGAGAGGGGGAAATGAGCTAGAGTTGAGTGTCTCTAGTAATCGGAGAGGAGCGAGTCTCCGGTTCTAGCGAGGAGGGACAGGGCTCCGGGAACTAGAAGGCAGAGAGGGAGAGGGGTGGAGCTCTGAGTGACTAAGGGGCCGGGCAGGGGGTGGGGAGTGGAGGGACGCCTCTTCCCTCTAGGGCCGGGCGCCCCCTAGGGGCCGCTGCCGCTGCCACTGCCGCTCCCGCTGCCTGCCACGTCCTGGATCCAGGTGCGAGGGTGGCGGGAGCGTGGGAAGGTGGCCTCCCGGGCCCTACGTCCCTGTCTGCGAGTCGGAAGCACCGAGATGGAAATGTTGAGGCAGTCGCCACCGCCAGGAACTACCGCCGGCAGCGTGTAGCCCGGAGCCGAGCGGCAAAGGTCCACCCCGTCGGCGAAGGTCTGGGAGGAGAGGTGGCGTTAGGGCCCGGGTGGGCGTTTTCAGGACTGGGGTGGGGTGGGGGGCTTACGGAGGGAAAGACTGGGAGTTCCATGGAGAGTAGGGGCCCGGGGAGCGGTCTTGGGGAGGATGGTTCCCGCCTCTTGGTCTTTGTGGGAGTCTGGGGGAGGGACCATGGGGGAGGGGCGCGGGGACTTGAGGAGGGCGAGTAAGTAGTTCTTACTGGGTGCCAAGGGGCTGGGGCCTAGGGAAAGGTGAATGGGCTTCTGGACCTTCAGACTGTGGATGGGCCTAGAGCAGACAGGCCCTTGGGAAGAACAAAATAGGTCTCTGTGGGCCTTAGGGAGGCTACAGGCTTACGCATATGCCTTCCACTGTGGAGGTTGGGCTGGAGAAGGGGGAGGGTGGGAGCAGGGTCTTGGGGTGCTGGAACAGACTCGGACCGAGGCCATAGTACGGGGAGGTTTCAGCCTCTTCCCCGAGCCCGCTGTCCCATGCTCACCTGCCCGTAGGTCCTGCAGCCGGGGTTGCAGTCCCTCTTTTCTAGGGGTGGGAGCCAAGTCGGGCCGCAGGTGATAGCACTTTTGCAGATGGCAACCCTGGGGTTGGTGTGTGGAGAGAAGGTGGGTGAAGGCGCTGCGGTTGCGTTCCAATGGGATTCCTGCTCTCCAAGGATCTGTGTCTCTCTCCCGCCCCCTTCCAGGTCCTGCCTCTTAGTACCACGCCCCTACAAACACCACCCTCCAGATTTCACCCCGTCCCATATTCTCTCTTTAAAATTTATATATATATATATATACACACACACACACACATATATATTTATTTTAGCCCTAGTCGGTTTGGCTTAGTAGATAGAGCATCGGCCTGCAGAGCAAAGGATCTCCGGTTCGATTCTGGTCAAGGGCAGGTACCTTGGTTGCAGGCTTCTCCCCTGCCCAGGCCCTGGTCCAGGCATGTGCAGGAGGCAACCAATCGATGTGCTTGTTTCTTTTCTTTTTTAAAAAATATATGTATTTTTATTGATCTCAGAGAGGAAGGGAGGGGAGAGAGATAGAAACATCAATGATAAGAGAGAATCATTGATCAGCTGCCTCCTGCACACCCCACACTGGGGATCGAGCCTGCAACTCAAGGCATGTGCCCTGACTGGGAATCGAACCGTGACTCCTGGTTCATAGGTCGATGCTCAACCACTGAGCCATGCTGGCTGGGCTCAATGTGTTTCTCTCACATCAATGTTTCTGTCTTTCTCTCTCTCTTCCACTCTCCCTAAAAATAAATGGAAAAATATCCTCCGGTGAGGATTAACAAAAAAACAAACAAAAAAAATTTTAAATTGATTTCAGAGAGGATGGGAGATGGGGAGAGAGATAGAAACATCAATGATGAGATAGAATCACTGATCAGCTGCCTCCTGCACACCCCACACCAGGAATCGAGCCCACAACCCGGACATGTGCCCTGACCGGGCATGTGACCTCCTGGTTCATAGGTCACAGCTCAACCACTGAGCAACACCAGCCGGGCCCACCCCATATTCTCTATACATACCCAGAGCTTTGTCACCACTGGCCGAGTCCCTGCCCATCACAGACCATCTGCTATAAGCTAACCCTTTTTGTTTGTTTGTTTATCCAGGTTTTCCCTTTTAGCTTCTGTTTTCAATCCAGAGGCCCTGCCCTTTATTTAAAAACCGGTTCCTGAGAGGCCACGCCTCCCTACTGCCCATCTTAAAAAGCCAGGGGCTCCCTAACCCGTTTGGCTCAGTGGATAGAGTGTCGGCCTGCGGACTGAAGGGTCCCAGGTTTGGTTCCGGTCAAGGGCATGTACCTTGGTTTCGGGCACATCCCCAGTGGGGGGGTGTGCAGGAGGCAGCTGAGTGATGTTTCTGACTCTATCCCTCTCCCTTCCTCTCTGTAAAAAATCAATAAAATATATTTAAAAAAAAAAAAAAAAGCCAGGGGCTCTACAGGCCCCTCCCCTTTCTGTCTGGCTTCAAAACACCAGGCCTCATACTTTAGAACCTAGCCACGTTGGAAGTAGGCCATGTCCCTTCAAACTCGAGGACCCGTAAGCTGCAGATCCTGCCTTCAGCCCCACCCACAACATCGGCCATTCTTCCCACCTCCTACCAGGCATGGCAGAGCTCCGGGCAGAGCAGCTGTGTCTGGTGTACCCCCAGTAGCAGGAGGCGGAAGCGACTGCGGAGAGAAACTTGGAGGTGTCCCAGAAAGGATTCGCACCTGGACATCGGGAGAGACAGGACCTGATGGGTCAAGATGCCAGGGGGCTCTGGCCCCTGGTTGGGCAACTGGAGCAAAAAGCACAAGGAAACACTGGGGGGTGCTGTACTCGCCTGGGGCTAGGCTTCCTGCAGCCCTCCGAGAGGATTCCAGGTTCCAGAGCCTCTGGCGTGTTCATCTCTGAGGGACAGCAAACAGGGCAATAGAGAAGGGAACTTCTTTCAGTTGAGGCTTTGGATCCTCATGTAGGGCTGACCTCAATAATATAATTCCTCTCAGACATAAAACACTTTGAGGTGCAAGTAACAATCATTTATCATAATCATAATCAGCTAATTATTTTCATGTCCCTAGTAGTGGTATTAGTGCTCAAATGCTTGCATACACCCCTTTACAACACCCCTACGATTTCTATTATTCCACTTTTTAAAAAAAAATGTTTTTTTTATTGATTTCAGAGAGGAAGGGAGAGGGAAAGATAGAAACATCAATGATGAAAAAGAATCATTTATTGGCTGCCTCCTGCACACCCCACTCTGGGAATCGAGTCTACAACCAGACTTGTGCCCTGACTGGGAATTGAACCCTGACCTCCTGGTCCATAGGTGGATGCTCAACCACTGAGCCATACTGGCCAGGCTCTCCCACTTATTAATGGCCCACATAAGGCCCAGAGAGGTTAAGTGACTTGCCTAGGGTCACACAGCTACAAAGTGGCAAGAGTTCATATTTGAACCCAGACAATCTGACTCCAAGCCTATTATCTTTAACATTCTTAAGCACTAGCCCAAGCTGCCCACCCTGGTCACTCTAAGTTCCTGTTATAAGGAAATTGTCATTGCTGTGTTGGACTGTGCATTCTTGGGAGTTAGGGGTTAGGCAGGGTCTGGAGTGCTCACCTGCTAGGTGCTGCTGGCCTGTACTCAGATCAGCTGCCAGCCTATGGTGTCTCTGGGACCTAATGGGGAGTGCACGGCTCCCTCCACATGCCCCTAGCAGGATCCATGCCAGGGTCAGTTGCAGGACCCAGGCCAGGCCCCTTGGTCGTGTACAGCCCCTGCAGGCCATGTCCACCTGAGATAAGAGTCAGCTCAGTTATGGGTGAGGTTTGGCTGTCCTTTTCTGGGAGCTCAGGGTGATCCTCTTGATGTACACTCAAGGATGGTACCAGGCAGAGCAGAGAATGGGCAGTTGGGAGGCATTGACCAAAGACCTTAAAATCCCAGGGGGCCACCGAGGCCTGGCTCTAACCCAGGAGTGTCCCCCCCCCCCATCCCAGTGTACCCAGTTTGACCATACTGCCCCACCCCCCTCAGGGCCACCAGGACCTCCCACCCTTTCAGCTCTTGGACAGCCCCCTCCAGCCTCAGAACTAAGGGGACATCTCCAGCTCTTTCAATGTCCTGCCCAGTAAGTCCTGTCTTCTGCCCAGTCTCCGCCCTCCCTCTCAATCCCCGCTGGCCCCTCTCATGGTCACCTTCTCAGTCTACAATCCGCTTAGGGGCTGCTACTCAGGGCTGGGCCTTTGGAGCCAAGCTTGGCTGTGGCAGGAGTCAGGTTCTGCCGCTGGGGTCCAAAAATCCCAGGTCAGAAGACTGAGAGTCTGTGGAGACAAGACGATTCCCCCCCACCTCCACCCCCATGCCCCCTTGGGGCCCCTCTCACCTGTTAGCAGGACTAGGGTCTAGGGTGCTGCTGAGACACCTCAGGGTTAAGTCCAGGAAACGGACTAAAGGGGCGTGGTTTGATGCAGGGGAGGTGTTTTCCAGCACCACGCCCCCTGCCCCAGCTGACCAAAGGCTGAGGACCTGGGACTGGTGTATGTACATACATCCTTGTCTTTATTGTTGAGTTGTGGCATAAACTATGGATCTATATGTGTGGGGAGTGTGTGTCATGTCGAATGAGGGTGTGTGTGTGTGGCTGTGTGTGTTTTGTGTTGAATGTATGTTGTGTGCAGTTTTAAAAAAATATTTTTATTGATTTCAGAGAAGAAGGGAGAGGGATAGAGAGATAGAAACATTAATGATGAGAGGGAATCATTGATTGGCTGCCTCCTGCACACCCCCTACTGGGGATCGAGCCCACAACCCAGGCATTTGCCCTTGGCTGGAATCAAACCTGGGACCCTTCAGTTTGCAGGCTGATGCTCTATCCACTGAGCCAAACTGGCTAGGGCTGTTGTGTGCAGTTTATATGTGCCTATTGCTTGTGTGGCTGTGTATGTGTTCAAATTCTGAATGAGGAGAACGTATGTGTTCCAAGCCAAGTGTGTCCAGTTGAGTAAGAATCAGGTAATAAATGTAGGGAAGGGGAGTATAGAATCAGGTTAGAATGGGTGTCCTGTGAAAATGTTGGATCAGTGAGTGGATAAAGTCAGTGGGTAAAGATTGTTTTGTTTTTTTAATTTTAGGATTTTTTAAATCCTCACCCAGGGATATTTTTCCATTGATTTTTAGAGAGGGTGGAGGAGAGAAGGTAAGACAGAGAAAAATATGTGAGAGAAACACATTGATTGGTTGCCTCCTGCACAAGCCCCAACCAGGGACTGGGCCAGGGAGGAGCCTGCAACCAAGGTACAGGCACTTGACCGGAATCGAACCCGGGACCCTTCAGTCTGCAGGCCAACGCTCTATCCACTGAGCCACGCCAGCTAGGGCTAATGGTTGTGTGTGGTTTGTTTTTAAGTTTTTTAAAATATATTTTATTGATTTTTTACAGAGAGGAAGGGGGAGAGATAGAGAGTTAGAAACATCGATGAGAGAGAAACATCGATCAGCCGCCTCCTGCACATCTCCTACTGGGGATGTGCCCGCAACCCAGGTACATGCCCTTGACTGGAATCGAACCTGGGACCCTTCAGTCCACAGGCCAACGCTCTATCCACTGAGCCAAACCGGTTTCGGCAAGTTTTTTAAAATATATATATTTTTATTGATTTCAGAGAGGAAGGGAGAGGTAGAGATAGATAGAAACATCAATGATGAGAGAGAATCATTGGTCAGCTGCCTCCTGCATGCCCCACACTGGGAATTGAACCCATAACCTGGGCATGGGCCCTGACCAGGAATTGAACCGTGACCTCCTGGTTCATAGGTTGATGCTCAACCACTGAGCCATGCCGGCCGGGCAATGGGTAAAGGTAGTTGATCATAAATGTTGAATATGAATGAACAAGAGGATGTTGTCTGTGTAGAAAGGGTGTGTCTGCATCTGAAATATGTATGTGTGTCCCAGTTTGTATAAATGTGTGTCCCTTGAAAACATTTCTTCAATTCATTCAATGAACATTTATTGAGCACCTGCTCTCCCTCAGATTCTGGGGATGCAATAGTGCCCAAGACATGCAAATCTCAATCCTCATAGACCTGACATTTTAATAGGAGAGTATGATAAGAAAAGCAGCCCTGCCCTAGCCAGTTTTTCTCAGTGGATAGAGCGTCGTGCTGTGGACCAAAGGGTCCCGGGTTAGATTCCTGTCTAGGGCATATATCTTGGTTGCAGGCTCCTCCCCGGCCCTGGCCCTGGTTTGGGCTCGTGCACGAGGCAACCAATTGATGTGTTTCTCTCACATCCATGCTTCTGTCTTTCCCTCTCTATTCCATTCTTCCTAAAAATCAAAGGAAAAATATCCTCGGGTGAGGATTAACAAAAAAAAAGAAAGAGAGAAAGAGAAAAGAAAAACAGACCTGCAGTTGGTATGTGAATGTGTGTGTGTGTCCATGTGTTGTTTTGGGATGATCATGTGTCTGCATGTTCAGTGAGAGTTTGTGTGTAGCTGAGCTTCCTTTGGTTTTTGGAACTGTGTGTACATGCTTGTGTTTGTATGTGTTGTTTGTGTGTGTTTGCACTTGCTGAATGTGTGTGTTTGCATTTTCTAAGTATGTGCAGAGTGAGTTTTTGTGTATATATGTGTGTGTCTGTTTGCTGAGTATGTGTGTGTGTTTGCAAAGTGTGTGTATGTCTGTGGAGTATTTGTTTGCAGAGTGTGTATATATGAGTATGTGAGGCTGAGCATGTGTTGGTATGTTCATGTTTGTGTGTTTGCAGAATGTATGTGTATGTGTGCATGTGCCTGTGCTTGTAGAGTGTGCACATATGTGTTTTTGTGAGTGATTACCACAAATCTCTCTCTATTTCTTCTCAGGCTAGTGCAGAGTTTTTGTCTATTTTACTGACTGTTGTACTTCTAGATCCCAAAACATTAATTTGCACACACTAGGTGCTCAATACGAGTTGAGTAAACGGACCAATTAGGAGGCACTGTCTTTGGGCCCTTCTGTGGGCATCCATTGGTATCCTGGAGGCGTCAGCACCAAGACCTGGTGAGCCCAACTTTCCCTGTCCCATTTTGGTGCAGTCCAGGGTGCTTGTAGGTCTATGCCTCCCGCCAGCCATTCCTCTCCCCTGACCTCAGCCCCCAAACCTGCGCGCAGATTTCAGCACCGCGGACAGAAGCTCCCGACAAATCAGCACCACGGAGAGCACCCACAACAACACAAAAATGCGGACCAACAGAAATGAAATAGATTACTTAGGCAAAGGCGCAGAGATGAGGAGACAAGCGCCCAAGAGACACCCAGACTAGCCCTCTCCATCGCCTTGTTTGAGAAGCTCGTGTCGCTCCTGTCTAGTGACCACGACCTCCAGAGCGCCCAGGCCAGTTATGGGCCGGACTCTTGGGAAGACCCCAGTTTCCAATTCCTAGACTTGGCGTGGGAAGCTCTCTGATGCTTTCCACTCTCTGGAAAGCATGGTTAGTATGGCTTCAACTATGGGAACACCGCGGAGGGGGGGGGGTTGAAAATCGCTCCAGCTGCCCACCTTCCCAAAGACCAGCTAATCATCCCTATAAATACAGCCTGGCTTGGCCTGGCCTGGCTCTTTAATCCTGACAGGGAAGGAGGGGGTCACTAGCGAGGCTGAAGAATCTCTGTTTGGGAAAGGGGGGCGGTATGTGGATGCAAATGTTTTTCTGAAGGGGCATCTCCCGTGAAGACGGGTCTTCTTGGTGACAATGTCACTTTAAAATCTCTCTCCTTGGGATATGGGGAGTCTCATGGGTGGGGACAATTTCCCACAGAGAATATGGCATTTAGGGGGTCGCTCATTCACCAGGCTCCCCACGTGAAATGTCTGTCACCCGTGGGAACTTTGCAGAAATGTTTCTTCCTGGGGGAGGGGAGCTGGTGAGAGCAGGACTCGCCTCTCAGTGACCATCTGTCTCGGGAATGATTTTCTGGGTGAGGGGAGAGTTTGATTGGCGAGGGCCTCCCTGCGGAGACGATGTCCCCATGGGAATGTGTCCCTGTTGGGTCTCGGGGGCACTCCCATAGGAAACATATCTGTGAGGCTATCGTTCTAGGTATTTCTTGGGCTGGGCCCTACCCATGAGCATGTCTCTCCCCTGGGGCGCCTCCTCATAGGGGTCCCTCGGTAGCTCGGCTGTCTCTCCGGTTATCTGGAGGCTCCTCCCCCGCCTCCCCCACCCCCCAGCGCAGGGGACCTTGGCCGAGGCCGGGCTCCAGCGCCCAGACGCAGTGACGGTGCCAGACCCGCCCCACTTCGCTCCGCCCCCGTGCCCCCCCCCCCCCCTCTCAAACAATCTAATGGATTAATGATTACTGACACCCTGCACACTGCTTACCCAGACTAATGATTGGAACTCATATGAGACTTCAAAAGCCTATAGACAGCGGATCTCATATTGAAAATCTGCTCTGAAAAGCCTACTGAAATGGACGTATCATTCGGCTCACTTATTCACACACATGAAGATCCAGGAGGCCGTACACTCAGTAGTCACTGTCCCGAATAAATCATAATATAACTCTACCCATTCCATATGCAACATACCTCAAATGGAAAGACTCAGTGAGCTCCAAAACCCCCAAATG